AGTACTCTAGCCCAGGCAACAAATTGAGACTCTGTCTCAAAAAGAATGAATGAATTTAAATTCACTTCTAGATTTTCTTGTAATACATAAGTTATGTAATGAAAAGCCAGACACTTGTGTTGGGTACAACCTATAACTTATTTCAAAGTAAAATAGTTTTGTTTGTAAATTGCTTCAAGGTCATTACAGTAGCTCTGCAAGTCTTAATTGCATATCTGTATGCTATAGTTTAAGTGTTTATATATCTTAATAATTTTTATTTTCTGATAAGATTTTTTCTTAAAAAAATAGGAATTACAGATTTCTGTATAGGAAAGGTATTTTCAAAAAGTCATTCATTTTTAGTTATATTTGTGGATGCAAAGATTGACTAAAGAGGATGCACATAGACGTCATGGTTTTTTCTTTTTCCTTCTTAGGCTATTCTTCGTGAACTGGGTGGTATCCCAATTGTTGGAAACAAAATCAATAGTCCTAACCCCAGTATTAAAGAGAAAGCTTTAAATGCATTAAATAATCTGAGTGTGAATGTTGAAAACCAAATCAAAATAAAGGTAAGTTGTCTAAAATCACAAATGTATGAGCTTTTCTGTAAATGAAAGAAAATAAAAACGCAATTAATGAAACTTTATCACATTATGCTTTATAACTTTATGGTCAAGAATTGCCTCTAGAGGAACAGAGAAGAAGGAGGAACCTCAACCAGCCAGTAAGAGGTGCAATTAAACTTTAAAAGTTGGGGTTCAGTTTAATCCAAGAGTGCTAAAGGGACCAGGCCAGAGTTAGATAAAAATTAACAGAAAGACACAATAAATTTGGAAATTATTTATTTATTGAATTTCTGTTCTGTGATCTTTCTAGAGTATAGGAATGCATATGATACAACTCTTTTTCTAAGAAAGATACGAGGTTGGACAATTACGTCCTCAAACTCATCCTAGGAAAAGTGCTACATATCTCATTGCTGAATATCACTACAGGCACCTTTGCGGTACTCACTTTAGGAAGCTAGACACCAACACTAGCACCTAGTCCACCCTTCAAAGCAATTTTGGAACTCCTTCTGGAATGGCCATCAGCACTGTCATCATACAGGGTCTGATGATTAAGTTCACAAACTCATCCTAGAAAAAGTGCTACATACCTCATTGCTGAATATTACTATGGTCCTCAGGTGGCCAAGGGGAGTACTTTGAATGTGACCATAGTGATAGTCAACAGTGAGGTATGTGTGTAGGATTTTTTCCAGGTAGAGTTCTCAAACTTGATTCACATCATAGAAGGAGGGATAAGGCAAGTCCAAAAGTAGTTGTAATTCAAGATGGAATATGAGGAGACGCTGTAAGGAAAAATGTAAGTAATTTAGGGGGTTGTAGAAAGGAGAAATCTGAGCTGAAAGTTTCTATAAGAGGTGGAGCATTAATGCTTCTATCAGAAGCATTCTTACCTGCTTCTTAAGAATGTCTGAGGTTTCTATAGATAGAGTTGGTGAAGGAGAGAATTCCAAAAGAAAGAAGCAAGATGAGGTGGGCACTGCTCTTCAAATAACTGAGCTTGCCCATTTGGTTAACTTGTCATAAGAACTGTAAAATGATGAAGAGATTCAGATATAATAAGGATATAAATGTTGTACACATTTTAGGAAATGCTTTGAAAAACATCCGTATCTTATAAAAAGATTTTTTTGGTTTATATGACTTATAAAGAACTAAAGAAAATGCCATGTTTTTAAAGGATGGATGTGTAATGAAATTGTGACCTCAGCTCAGTGCCTGTGGCTCAAGCAGCTAAGGCGCCAGCCACGTACACCTGAGCTGGCGGGTTCGAATCCAGCCTGGCCCACGAAACAACAATGACGGCAGCAACCAAAAAATAGCCAGGTGTTGTGATGGGCGCCTGTAATCCCAGCTACCTGGGAGGTGGAGGCAGGAGACTCACTTAAACCCAGGAGTTGGAGGTTGCTGTGAGCTGTGATGCCATGGCACTCTACCCAGTGCAACAGCTTAAAGCTCTGTCTCAAAAAAAAAAGAAAGAAAGAAAGAAAGAAATTGTGACCTCAGAAAGCCTGTTGACTTTTAAATGTAATTTAGATCTTGAAATCAGAGTAAGTCTTTGTTTTACTGCCCTTACTTTATATGGTAACATGGATACACTTGGGGATTTTTTTTTTATTAATAATGGCTTATGGGATTGGTAAAAAAAAATTGGTAACTTTTTATTCCTACAAATTAGGGGGGAAATTTTTTACCAGTTAGAACTTTTGGGGAAGTTCACATTTAAGTAGGTAAATACCGATTATCTGTGAAACATGATTTTTCCAAGCTGGAAAGATCATGGCCAGACACAAAAAATAGAATTTCAGATTTCCGTTTTATCACACTGGTTTAGTTCTGTTGAATACTATTGACATTGCATTACTTTTTGCCAGTGGTACATTATGTACATTTACCTAGGTAAGTAAGGATAATCTTGGACCAATTAAAATTTTGCTCTGCTTTTTTCTTTTTTCTTTTTTCTTTTTTTTTTTTTTTTTTTTTTTTTGAGATAGAGCCTCAAGCTATCCCCCTGGGTAGAGTTCTGTGGCATCACAGCTCACAGCAACCTCCAACTCCTGGGCTCAAGCGAGTCTCCTGCCTCTGCCTCCCAAGTAGCTGGG